AGCGGCTGCAACTTACAGTTTCTACTCATTCAGAAACTTCAAGTTTATATATTCAGGTCAGAAGTTCTGTAGCTTATCTTGTTGACACAATCACGGTACAGTATCTGCCTAAAGTATTAACAACATTTCAGATATTTAATTTCTTTCTCAAATAAATAACAAATATCTCAGCACTAAATCCCATTCTTCTCCTACTCTGTTCCCGGATTTCTGCAGTGGCTGCCCTAGCCCATGTACAGCCATCACACACTGCATTCACTGCTTTGCTGCCTGGAAGGCTGCAGCTACAAAAACACCCAGCGCAGGTGTTTCCCTGCTCTGACACACTCTGACTTTGCATTGGTGCAAAGCAGGCTATAGCTCACGGTACCACTCCATCCTCTGATCTCCCTGTGCTCTCACTCCCTCAGGCTCACCCACAGGGAGACTACAATGGAATTAACTTGCAAAGAAACAAATGTAGTTTGAACCCCAGGAGCACACATATTTCAAACAACAACATAATTATTTAAGGACAATTTTTAAAAATTTTTCAATTTTTAAATACAACTTTACTTAAATGACCCCAGATTTGGACTGGTACTTCTGTACTACAGCCCACGAGATCTAAGGAAACATGGATTTCACAATTACCAGAAGAGTGACCACTGACCATCATCGTTTCTCCTGAGATACAGGAGAAATGTTGGTATGCTACATTCTTTACTGAAACGCAATAACAAATCTTGTTAGAAAGCTCAAAGAAACTACAAACACATCCATAAAATTATATTTACAGCTAAAAGATTTTGATTGAAAATATTTTAAACGAAACTAATTATGAGATTAAATACTAAGACTAACTTCTATTTAATCTTTTTTCTCTTGGATTAAGTATTAATTATAACCATACCAGCTAAATTAATTAACATCAATATGAAGCAAAGGAACAGGCTTTAGCACATTCGGCAATCTTTGACAAACATCCAATCATGAAAGCTCTTCTGTTATCCTCATTTATGAGTCATTTCATTTTTGACTGGCATCTGCAGATGGCCCTGTGCAAGGTTCCTGTACCAGAGATGAACCTTACAGTGCACAGAGTGATGCAAACCTTCCTGCAGAGCCGTGCTTTTCCCCCTGTGCTCTGTGATACAGAAGCCCTCAAAGCATTTCAACCTATAAAGCAGAGTGCTGCCTCTCTGGCTGTCTGGAAGTAATGAGACCCACACTGCGATGTTCAAAGGTAGTATTTTCATCATTCACCCTCATTGAAAGCAATGATTAAAGAAGTGATAAAGAAACACCTCTTAACTGCAAAACGTAGAAACCAGCACTTTGGAAAGGAGGAGAAGGAGGAGATGGTTTGAAACAGACTGCAAGAGGACAATAAAAGTTAAAGAGCATTACACAGCAGCTGCGGGCCTAAAGGTAAAGCAGCTAAGTACTGCAGAAATGAACCATAAAAATGGCATCACGATATGCTACAGCGATGCATTCCTGAATCCTTAGCTAAATATATTTCAACCCTTCCATTATGTACCCTAATTTCAAAGAAAACAGAACAATTACTCAGCCAAAGCAGAGGCCTGTTGCAGCCATAAAGCAGCAGCAGACCAGGTAAGATAAAATCCGTACTGGTCTGCCTTTAACTAGATTTAACCACACCAGAACAGTGTAACTAGGAACTCTGTAGAAGCATTTTTGCTACTTTTCAGCTTCATTAAAATAAACAAGCCACTGCAATTCAGGTAAGTGTAATTATGTTAAAAATAAAGCACCACAGAGGGTAAATGGAGACCTGCTATAGTTGCCTGAAGAAAGTACATGCAAATATGGGCAAGCAGTAAACTCTACAAGAAAACAAAGACGGAAAGATGGTTGCCACTGAAACCGTAGCAATCCTGCAGGAAAAGCCAGAGAGCTGTTCGATGGAACCAGAGAAATCACACAGAATAAGCACAAAATTTCACTTCAGAGCACAATAAGCTGAACAATACCAAAAGCAGATAGAATTGTTCCCTTTGTAGGTGGAGACAAGGAACACAAAAACAGAAGCAAAGGGAGATTAAAGATGGCATCCTCCGCAAGGCGCCCTCAGGCCTGCAGCCAGCAGCCACCTGCTGCCAGGCACCATGCCCTCATCGCCAGGTCAGGAGAGTCTCCCCAAGGACCAGCCACTCGTAAACTGCTGACAGTCATAGCAACTAATTGCTCATGATATGTATTGATGATGAACAACAGTTTTCTCAAGCGCTGCTCTCAAGTCAGAAGGTGGCCCGGTAGAGCTGAGAGCACCTGCCCTCCTCCTGGCCCAGCACAGCTCCACTCCTGTCCCCAGGCCTCAGCTCACTGCAGGCCATGCGTGGCACTGCCCCAGGAGCCATTACCTGTCCTGCTCTGACTGCTTCCACTACTAACAGCACCGTGCTTTCTCATTTCCTAGCTCATACACTTACATCTGGTCTAACCTATCACATGTATGCTGTAGTAAATAAGAAAACAGGCCTGGAAACTTCACACTGACTTTATATTTACTTTCCTTTTAATCTGAAAAGTAATTAAAAATAGAGAATTTCATCAACATATTTTATGCTTATGCTTGCATTGAATCAAAAGCCTCATTAAAAACAAAACAAAACAAGAGCATACAAATAAAGAACCTGTCACACTAAATTAATACAAATCTGGTTAACCCTTCTAAAATCAATACTGAAACAAGAGATGGAGAAAAGAGGCATTTGGAAAATGTGCTGTCTGCAAGTGTTGGTCTGTGAGTTTAGCTCAGACAGCATAATATGGCAAAGGAAAGAAGGGAAGAGAAAAACATTCTTAGCAGAGAAAAAATAACAATATGCAGACACACACTGCAGCATTCCATGATTTCAGCACTCAGCACTGATAGGTAAAGAGGTATCTGGAATCTAAATTGTGATCTGAGTTTTGTAGTGCTGACATAAAGCATTCCCTTCAGACAGCTCAGGTACTGCTTTCTGTTTCATAATCAGTAATGTGACTGCTTGCGTATTGTTTTCAACCGAGAGAAGAACCTGCTGAAGGTAACCAAAAGGTGAAAACTAAAAGTTGTGAATGATGGCCCTGATACAGCAGCTGCTGTCAGCGGAGGCTTTGACTCTGGGGCGCTCTGCTGCTGAGATGAACAACTGCCAACAGGGAGAAACATTCAAGTGCAATACTCTGGGAAGAGGCAATGTGAGTGGGATCAGCACTCACATCAAAGTAAAGCCAAAAAATAAAGGCGGAACTGACAGGATGGCAAAAAGGTGTCATTTGTTTTTGTGGCTACTGGCATGAATTTAGAGGAAATACCAGCTCTAAAGAGTGCTGGCTAATTTGGAAAGTCTCCAGTGATTCCGCAGGCATAAATTTCAGCAAAATTCACTGCAAACAAGAAAAAAAAGTCCTCATCTTCTGAGTTAATATTCTTGTGATGAAACTTGTCATAAAGTCCTGTCAGGTGTGCATGTCAGAAAGGAAAAAATCAATCCTGAAGCACCCCTGGAAGAGCCTTTAGAAAGCAGCAGTCCTGTCGGAAGACTCTCTGGCATTTCCATGTTCTCCTCTGACAAGTGAACCTACAGAAAACTGCAGTTCTCTGGTAGCCAGGTGTCCTGCAGCCTCCAAAAATAACAGCATTACTTTGGTCAGTAGCAGAAATACATGTGTATTCCATGAGAGTTTGTGATACAAAGCAGAAAAGCGTAAGGTCCAAAGTTAGTACTGGAATTGACAGTCCCCACTGGCAGGAAATAGGTATAAAATCAGAACGTAAAGAAGCCCAGTGTTATTGCTCAGGGCTGCCAGCATTTTGACAAAGAACCATTTTGCAAATATCACAAGGAATTCTTTCCCTGTAAATGTCTGGGGCAATCTTAAGACATTACAAATGACAAATTACAGGTGCCACTGTACTAAAGAATGCCTGTATGGAGGTGTAACTACGCCGTGCTGGCTACTCTGCATGTAAGCTGGTAGAGCAGCCTTAAATTCCCAGAAGGCTGCAGCTGATACATAACATCTCAGAGCTGTGGCAACCGAATAACTGAAACCACTGCATAAGCCAGTGTTACAAGGAGTCCAGCTGCCCTACCTGCATTCTGTGTTTTTATACAGATCTAGGCCAGCAAGATCACTCTTCTACTATAATCTCGTTTTTCACATTTTTTTTAAACTGAATTTTCTAGAATTCAGTAAAATTCTACCATATCAGCAAGAGGGGCAGACTCAGGTGTACAAATTCCAGTTTGAGCACACGTTCGGTTGCTGCTCTGACAACTGCAGCAGGACCTGGCCTCATGTCTGTGAACAAGGACATAAACACATGCTCCTGCAGAAGTCCCCACAATGGCATTTTTAAAATTCTGCTATTCCAAGCAGGCATCCCACACCCTGAATGACCACAAATCTCACTGAGAACTGAGTACTGAGAACCAAAGCCCATCAGGCACTTAGTTATTTGACTGACCCAAGTGCTGCACCTTTAAATTTATATGCAACTGTTTGCCCCACAGGCATCAAGCTGTTAACACATACAGAAGAGATTAAAATGAGCCTGCATGCTGGATGAAATATAAATGAAAATTATAGTACTACCAGTCTTGGATCTGGGATTGTTTCTCAAGTCTCCAAAAATGCATATTTGCATAATTATAAATGAGCCTCTGTTTGTGATTTCAGGAAGGGCAAAGCACATAATTTTCCAGCAACACAGTCAATGTGACTTATAAGAAGTTCCCCCTGTGCCTGTGAGCAAGATATGCCACAATAGTACCATTAGCTGAATACACAAGAACTGTCCAAATGTATAATAAACACTTTAAAATAGGACAGCGATGTCCACCTGTCTGCCTCCCAGAGCAACGCAATTCAGACGACGCGTACTGCACGTGTTCTGATGTCAGGAACTCTCACTGCGTGTCACCTAAAACCACCACTGACCCAAGGTAGACCAAAACCCCTCACGGATCAAAGGGCGCTGCAGAGCACTGCCTGTGACCCACCTGGTCTCCAGCGGGACGTTGCTGTTGAGCACCCAGCTGTCCTGCAGCTGCACGGACTCAGGCGTGGTTGCAAGGTCGTTGGGAGCGGGAGCAGGTGCGTGGATCTGGTTGCGGCGGTTGGTGAGTGAGTTCCTGTTGAGGGAGTTGGCAGACGAGTGATGGTGGGACAGCGAGTGGTTGTGAGGAGGAGGGAGAGGCGGCCTCAGCGTTGACTGGCTGTGATGGTTTGAAGGGCCTGAAATGGAAAAAGAAAAAGAAATGACAGCCATGCTGATGGTATTATTTTTCTCAGCATTTTCAAAAGACCGTTGGCTGGATAAAAAACCAAAAAACAGACCCCACAGACCAGAAATTATGCCTGTGTACCTTTTGGAATTGTAGCTACTGAAACACTGTTGAATCAGACCACAGACTGTCGTAGATCAGATATAAAACAGCACCTAAAGTTTGTATAGTTAGGATGTCCACAAAGACTCAACTGAGGTTTAAAAATAGTCTTTGTGGCCTCTCTGCAGAGAAAGGGAAGGAAGCAGGGCAGCGGGCAACTCGCCCGTTCAGTACACCCACCAGGAGGGACATTTTCTGCCCTGCTTCTATCAGGGGTTTAAGGATATGAACCTTAATGCATTAAAAATAGCTTTTGAGAATATGGTCTTTATGCTTTTATAAAATTTAATCAGAGATCTTAATCTGCTTTCACTCACTGTTTGCCCATTAGGTTCAAAGGAACAGTATTTGTGCCAGTAAAAGAAGATTAAGCTCCAAATATGAAAATGCAACAATGCAATGATGGTATCTTCAACATTCTTACATGTGATCGGGATTTGGCCTCTGTTTTTCTATTTAGCAATGCCACAAACACACATCAAGATCTGAAAATTATGCTAGTCTTTTAGCCTCTTTCATTGAAAGATGACAGAACATTCTGGGGGGAGATAAGGAAAGATAAACACTTTTCTTATTCTTTGAGTACTGACATGTTTGCGTGGATAATGAAAATAAATTCTGCTAATCAATAAGGCAAGCGAATTAAAGAAAAAGACATGCATAGATAATAGAATAAAGAGGCACAGTCACTTTACTAAACAAACACAAAATGGTAAGTTGATAATTCCATATGTTGCAATAATTTAATTTTAATAAAAAGAGCCAAATTTAAAATAACAAGCACTAAATAGATTATGAACTGCGTGCTTTAGTCATCATATCAAGTTGTAGTTTTCTAGTGAACAATAATCAGAACAAGTAATATCAGCTAAATTATAATCATAATGGAGTATGTTTCTTTTAGAAACCAAAGACCATTTTACCTAATGAATCAATCAATAAAAGAAAGCATCACAAGACGAAAACATTTGCAGCTAGACTGATCTATTTTCATCCAAAACAATGAAACACAGGAAAACTGTTGAAATGTTCAATTAACTGCCAGATCATTAAGGCCAATATTTAAAAAAGGAAAATAATTTTCCTTTTTGCTCAGACAGGACTAATCCCATGTGAGAATCACACCACGCAGCCAGGAACTGGAACAGGTGCAAAAGTTGAGGCTTCTGATTTGTGAAGCTATGATCAAATCGCCCCCTGTAACACGGGAAGGGGCCCAAGAGAAGGCACAGCCGCGCTCATTCAGTCTGGCAGATGCACAGCACGGTGGCAGGGCTGCCTGCCCAACCTGCCCTGGGGAGCACAAGAGCCCGCTGAGGGCAGTGGTGCAGCTGGGGAACTGCCACGGGACGGGGCTTGGCGGAGACACTCCTTCCTTCCTTCAGTGTAGGCCGAGGAAGAAACAACACAGGTCCAACTAAGACTTAAGCAAATGGAAATTGCCTTGTGACAAGCAAATGGAAATTGCCCTGTGACAAGACACCTTCAGAAGGGAGAGATAAATTCCGGATGCTGCATCTGTTGCTTTCAATCTGCACAGAAGTTTCTTTCCCTTTTTACAAAGTCTTTATGCCTGAATGCTTACCCTGTATGAAAAACAAAGAAGCCTTTCATGAACACGTTTTAAATTTCAGAGCTGTCATATGGACTGGCCACCTTACTATCCTTCCCTTGGCCATCTCTGACATAAGCTTGGAAGAGACTGTTTTAGCCCAGCAAAGTTAACATCTAAAATCCGCATTTGGACCTCCTAAAACATCAGATGCCTAATCTACACTGGGTCCTGTGCCATTTCCAAAGAGCATGTAGAGGGAAACACAGCAAGAAGAAAATGTGCTTGGACAATATCCACATGCATAGAAATTTAAGTGGAATTACTCTCCTCATGTCTGTGTTCTGGCTTTAAACAAAGCACAGTGATTTGGATTTCAATAAATGGATCTCTATAAGCGATAAAATACAGACGTGTGCCCTTGTGTTAAAAATGAATTCAGAAGATTTGTGCGCTTCCTATTTTCTCTGCAACTTCCCATTCAGTTTCCCCTTTCAGAGGATAAATAGGAAAGAATCATAAAAAAAAAGTTTTGTTCCCAGAGACACAGCAGTGACAGCTATACTGACTCTGAATCCTCCAACCACGAGATCACAGAGGCTGCTCTCACAAGTGAGAGAACTCCGCATTCTTATTATGTGCAATTACTGTAAGGCTAAAGAAGAACTGAATTCAAGCTACCATGAATTGATCTGCTGCAAGAGTTAGTTTGCACACAGTACATAAAGTGTACTGCACAAAACAAGCTATGTAGAAGCAGCTGTAAAACCCCAAAACAGCTGGCATAGAATGAATGTAGCATTTAATACAAAATAAAAAAAAATGTCAAAATTAAATAGATATATATTAAAATGTACAAAAGCTTATATATAAATACTAAGAAACACACACACATACAGAAGTGAATACTTAGGTTACTACATATATAGGAGAGAGTAAAAATCTTAATACTCTGCTTCTTCATAAAGTTCTTTAAATAAATAAAAAACAGACGTGTGTGAATTGGAAGCTGAGTGAGGATAAATTATTTTCTAATTATGTAATCTGAGAACACAAAGTCTGACCTAAATTTCTCCGAAGCAAACAAAAGTTGTTCAATTCACTTACTTGGGTTAAGAAGCTAAAAATGTAGAAAAAAATGCTTTGTCCTGTTCATCCTTTTATTCAGGAAAACAGTGAAACAAAACAAGCTAGCACAGAGGTAACATTCACCTAAAGCAAGATGCAAAATAGCACGTCTCCTTAAAAAGAAACAAGAAAAAGCAGAAAACCCCTGAACATAACTGTGTTATAAAGGTATTCCCTTCTTTTGTGTACACGAGAGCACAGAAGCTGCAGCCCAGGGCTGAACCCCAGAACACAGCTGCAGTGCACATGGCACTGCCACCTCCTCACAGCACTGTCCTGCTCTGCTGGAATGCCCTCGGCTGTCACAGGGTTACAGGCACCACAGTGAGCTGCTCCCGAGGACGCACCTCTAAATCCTGCTTCTCAGCTCTTTTTGCAGTTCAGACATGGCCTGGTGCACTAAGTGACACTCCGGATCTGCTTCAACACTGTCATATTAATTCCCAAGTTCTTCCACCTCTATGCAACGCTCACGTAACACTTGCACTAAATCCACCCAACACAAAGATCTGAGGAGAAGTGAAGCTCCCACTGAAGTGATCCATTTCAAAGCAGAAGCAGCAGCACCCCTGATCGCAGCAGAGCAGTTGCTGTCCTGGAACCTTCATATATAGCACAAAAACAAAAGTAATGGATATTCTACCTTAGCTATGCTGCACTATCCTATGTGCCACGATTAAATGCTAGAGACAAACACCTCCTCAATCATCTCACAAAAGAACTACAAGAAAAAAAACACACATTATTTTTCAGAAATGAACAATGCAGCAGCTTATGCATCTAGACAATACAAACACTGTGTAGAAACAGTGAATGAAGCTGATGCATTGAAAGATAAAAAGGAATAAACCGAAACCACATAAAATCCTTCTTAGCGAGCATCAGTCTTCAGCAACCCCAGTTCTTTATTCACATAACTGCACCACACTGTTTTCTCAAGGAAACCACATCATCTGCTCCCACAATGAGTAATAGGTTTGTCACACAACAACAGGCCACCTTCCAAGCTAATTCCTCTCCAAAGGCAGATCACTCTATTCAGAATCGGGAAGAAAAGCACTGAAGCACTGAAGCAGCCAGGGAGCAGCAGGCAGCATGCAAGGAGCTGCCCCTGCTCGGCAGCTGACACCTGGCTTTCAGCCCTGCTTTGAGCTGGCTGGGCTGGAACCAGGGCTTCTCATCTGCCTTGTGGCCTCTGCTTTAAGCCATGCTCTACCGTTCGCTTTAATTCTCCAAATTATTTTGTGGAAGGGCAAAGTTTAAATGGAATCTCACTGTTCTCAGAATGTTTTCAATGTACGCTGGAAAGAAGCAAGTTATGTTACTTAACCATAACCACAGATGTCATTAACTCTCTTTCTTGCTGTAAAACCACACCATTTGCAAAAGAAGGCATTCCTTCTTTTGTCCACGTTTTTACAGCGTTTGAGGCAAGAACAGGTTGAACGACTGACTATGTGTGAGTCACTTATCAGTTTCTGCCAGTGCACTGCAGCCATCTCCTCTGCACATTAGAATCAAAAACTAAATGTTTCTGCAGCAAAAAATACCCGACACAACAAGACCCCAAAACTCCACTGCTAACCCACAATATCCAGGTAGTCACAGAAGAGGGGAAAGGTGAATTTATGGGTAAAGTATCTGTCCAGGACTTTGTCATACTTTCTACAGCCTATGCTGACTGTGGCATCCCTCGAATGAGGATGAAGCACTTGTTATCTGTATGCTTCTTTATCCATATCCTTTGCAGTAGTGCTGAGGGTAAATTACCTTACCACTTACAAGCAATCACATACTGGTGCAGTTTGAGCCAGGAAAGCACTCTGCAGCTCTGGCTCCCAGCCTGAAGGGCGAGAGTTCATCACACAGGAGGCAGAAGAGGCAGCAACCAAATTAACTTGGCCAGACTGGAGCTGCTGGTGCGCACACAGAGCACGGCTGCCACTCCATCATGCGACTGGCGGTGCTGAGGGCTCTGGGCAGACATCAGGAGCACCCAGACACGGCCAGCTGCAGAAACAGCAGCTTGCTCCCAGCACTGCGGGAGCCAAAGGAAAGCAGGCATGGCCTTTGCACACGGTGGAGTGGGAAAGTTGTGCACGCTCACATGGGAGAAGACAAAGATGGGACATAACCCAGAGTCTGCCCTCAGGGACTGCAGGCACACG